TGTGGGATCTTCCTGGACTGGGGCATGAACCCGTGTCCCCTGCATTGGCAGGCGGACTCTCAACCACTGCACCACCAGGGAAGCCCCAAAGTTGCCATATTTTTGAATGATGGATTTTTCTAGAGAAGTTAAAAATTCAGATTTTAATGTATTTCCCAATTTTCAAATGTTGGCAATAATTTCTCATTTAAAAAGGCAACATGGTAGATACTAAAAAATAACAAACTATTTCTGCAGGTCTTGTTCAGTGGGTGGTCTGCTCATTCCAGAACAGCCTGCGCCCCAGGGCCTTGGCAGAGAGCAGGACAGTATAATGGGTGCTGAAAAGTGGGTGGGGTCTACCTTGCTGGGCTTTCAGGGACAAGTGGTATATATTGTGCCTCACTTCATAAATCAAGAGATTTTCCTCTCATTAATTTTTCCTTGGGACTGAGAAGAGGCTCTATCCAGAAAACTATGCAGCTTGACACCCTCCCAACAGAGCAGAGGGAAAGGATGGTCTATGTCTCTCCTTCGAAGCAGGTGAAACAGGATTCTCTCCCCTATGAGGGTCTTTCTGAGTGAGCTTATCAAAAGAACCTGAGGATTTTAATTGCTTCCCTCAGATTCTAAGTGAAAGAGAAACTTAACTCTGAGAGATAGGCACTCTGTCCTATGAGCATACTTGTCCAAAAGTTTACACAAATGATTGTGTACTTTGACTCAAGTTTGAATCCCAGGTTGGATTGGAAAATATGTAATAAAATATCAAAGTTGGGGAGGGTCATCTTAAAAGGTATCATTTCTGCTCACTAGCCCTGGCCACCTTGCCTGGTGAGTCTGCTAGAACGCACAGCCTGCTCGCTCCAGACACGTGCTGTAGAATGTCAGACCACAAATCCTCTAGGCCAGTGTTGAATGCTCCTGCCTGGGAAGGATGCTCTTTGCAATGAACATTCCCTGACAAATGAAGGGCGTATGATAATGAACGTGTCATTAAATTGGAGTGTCTTGAATCACATTATAATTTCACAACATGCAGTCTGTCACAGAGCCCAGTGGATGGGCTACATAGGCATCCCAGGCCATCAGCCGCACGCGGCATCTTGGGATGCTGTGAGGATGTGATGAATAACAACCCCAGGAGGTTCAGACCTATTGGTCGGAAGGACATTTAATTCCAAGGAACTCAATTATATGATGTTTGGGTTCCTTGGATAGTTGCCATATACCCTACAGGAGCTCTCAGGGATTAAATGTCCCCCACCCTGCAGCCCTGTTTCAATTTGGCTCTGATAATTGTTTCTATTCATAACATGAGACACCATATGGCACCCCTAGCATGTCAACTTGGCTCTTGGTTTTTAAGGGTTATTTAATGTGAACAGTGGTGAGACGCATGCCAAGAGTGGCAGCCCTTCCGTCAGGGCACTTGGGCTCCACCTGCCCCCGTAATGTCCGCCTTCTCATCCTGTCTGTTTTGCTTACTTGTTATAAAGAACTAGGTCTGGGTGCCAGATCTTTTCCGATGGAATGTGAATTTTTTTCACGCCACCATAGTCGTCTGGGTTCCATTTTAAGTTGTAATCCACCCATTGCTAGAAATGAAGACATTTAGTCGATTAAAAAACTAAAAATATTTTTTAAATCTAGGGTTATCAAGAGCTCTGATGAGCATGGTAATTCAGGTATGGACAGAAATTGTGTTCCAGTAAGAAGGGTTTGATTCAGAATTCAGTTTTCCCCTTAGTAACAAGTAAGAGCAAACACAGAGCACTGAGTACATGCGGGCCCTGTTGTAAGCATTTGACCCATATTCATCATTTTGTCCTCACAGTGTTCCCATGAGGTACAAGTGATTATTGACCCCATTTTACACGTGAGAAAACAAAGGTAGCCCCAAGTAACGCCACCAAGTGGTAGCAGATCTACCAGGTACACTGCCCACCTTAGGAAAGGAGAATGATCCTATTGGGAATGTTTTCCTCAAGCAGGGCAACATCATATTTTTAAAAAGTATTATATTTTCTTCTACATTATGAAAGTAACATATACCCAATGCAGCAAATTTGGATAACACAATGTTGAATTGTCTCCCCCAAATTAATATGAAGTTCTAAGCCCCAAGACCTCAGAATGGTGACCTTATTTGGAGTTAGGGTCTTTATAGAGGTAATTATGTGAAAGTGAAGTCATTAAGGTGGGCCCTAATCCAATATGACTGGTGTCCTTATAAGATGGGGACATTTGAAGACAGATACATATTCAGGAAGAAAGTCACGTGAACGTGAAGACGACCAATTCTGAGCAAAGGAGAGAGGCCTGGAGCAGGTTCTCCCTCACAAACTTCAGAAGGAACCAATTCTGCCAACACCTTAATTTTGGACTTCTGACCTCAAAAACTGTGAGACAGTAAGTTTCTGTTGTTTCAGCTGTCCAGATTGTGACTTTGTTCCAGGAGTCCTAGCAAATTAATACACGCAGAAAAAGCACAAAGTACAATAAAAAATAAACACCAAAACATGATCCACAGCCCCACTACCCCAAAATATCTACTTTTAACATTTTGGTACATATCCCTGTTACCTAAATTGATTCCCTCTGGGGCCATGTTAAATTTCAGGGTGAATAAAAGCAACATGAATGCAATTATCTAGCTGAGTTACCTGTTTCAGACGAACATTGGTTGTCACGATCTGATTTACTTCATCCTGAAAAAAAAGATAAGGCCCCGTCTTTAGGAGGACAAGAGGGGAGCCAGGGGAGGATGGTCCGGGGTGGGAGGTGTGGAGAGCCTGGAGCTCTCTTGTCTCACCACGTTGATGAGCTGTATCAGCTGCAGGCCCACCGTCACCTCCACGGCCTTGCGGTGGTCTTCCACGGGCCGTACTACGCTGTTGTAGTTTTCAAATAGCTTTGCCACCAGGCGGGTCTCATGTTCGGAGCCCAGGACGAGGCCAGCTGAGACAGCAAACAACACATTCACTGTCAGAGTCTGCTCCCACCCTCTACACACACTAACATGAGTAACTGAGGTGTGGCCAGCTCATGGAGGGCATGCAGGCCCCCTTGTTGAAGGGCTCCCTGATGCAGCTATTATTGCCTTGAATTCCTTTCCAAGTGCAGCTGCCAGTGTGGTCCCTTCCCAGTGGGGCATGCCAGATTATCATGCACTTGTACTTTGGACAGATGACATTCCTTCATCCAGCATCTGGCTGCATCAAGTTTGCTAGGAACACACACAAGAAGAAAGGTCCACACAAAGTCAGTCTTGGTATTTCAGAATCTGGTCATGATGCAATGAAATCTCAGATTGGCTGACCTCAGAGCTCATGATGCTATGAACAGCCCCAAATTGATGCTGATTCACACCCACTAAGATGTTATTCCATAATTAACAAAATTAAAATTGACAAATATTGGTGAGGTTACAGAGAAACTGGAATCCTCATATGTTGCTGGTGAGAGGTAAATGGTGTAGCTGCTGTGGAAAGCAGTTTGGTGGTTTCTCACACAAGTTATACACAGAGCTACCATATGACCTAGCAATGGCATTCCTTGG